GCAAGAGTCAAGCAAGGACTAAGGGACAGCAGAGACTCGTGCCTCCTTGTATGCGAGCGCGCGCGTGTGTGCGTACGTACGACGTGTGTCAGCGTTCGTGACAGGGGTGAAACTTCTGAGGGGGAGGGAGGGAGAGGGTAGGTAGGTAAATGGGAGGACTGGGGGGGGGGGAGCTGCTGGAATAATGAGCCTTTTTGGGTAAATTTTAGATCCGATTATACCTTTCGGTGGGTAATGCTCGAATCTATTGGCGTATTGTTTAAATGGAGAAGACGAAGAAAATAAGATAAAAAAAACACGTATTTTACATTGCATAAAAAAAACGATCACTCGACTACGCGGAATCGAGTTCTATCATATCAGATCTTTTCGTCGAGTAACATTAGTCAAAACATTAAGTCAAAGATCAAAATCAAGTTCTCGGTACGTGTGTGTGTGCGTGCGCGCAAGCTTCCGTGTGTGCGTATGTGGTACCAGGGTATGCATGTATGTATACCCCCCCACCCCCCTTGATATTCTCCCTTCCTTCCTCCTCCTTTCCTACCTCTTTCCCACCTTCCCTCTTCCTCTTTCTCTCTCTCTCTCTCTCTCTCTTTATCACCTGTAAAACATCTACATCATCATCTCGCGGGGAAGGGAAAGGATAGTTAAGTCCCCCCGACCTTCGTCACGTCACGCAGGCCGTATAGAAAACCGGGAGCGTTAAGTCGGACCTCTGTTGCATACACACGCTGGTCGAGTCGGGTCGGTCAGCGCACTTGCACGCCCAACGCTTATGAGGCAGGGGGGGTGGGGGGTAATCCGGCGACGCTCAGGAATAATGATAATGATTGTCGTATTAAAGAAAGGAAAATGGGGAGAAAATGTCACATGCTGCGCACACGTATAATATTTTATACATACTGTATATGCAATACATCTAAGTGTCCATACATGTGTATATATATTCATGGGTAGAGTTAGATAGACGAATTAATAAAAATACTGTAATTAGCCGGATAGATTAATAAGTGTATAGATAAATAACGTAAGTGAAGGCAAATAAACAACATAAATACAAGTACTGTCAGCTTTTGGTCAACATTTCCACAAAGAGAGAGAGAGAGAGAGAGAGAGAGAGAGAGAGAGAGAGAGAGAGAGAGAGAGAGAGAGAGAGAGAGAGAGAGAGAGAGAGAGACAGAGAGAGAGACAGAGAGAGAGAGAGACAAAGAGAGAGAGAGAGACAGAGAGAGAGAGTGGGAGACAGAGAGAAGGAGAGAGAGAGATACAAATAGACAGACAGACAGACAGAGAGCGAACGACAAGTAAAATGTGATGAATCCATTATCTTAAGTTTTTTCCATTCAGGCCACTCAAGTATCAAGTATGTTTTGTTTACCTTCGACCAAAAGCAATTCCAGGGGCAAACATAACGCCGCCACCTTGTTCCGGCTTGCTTTTCAGCGCAAGATTAACCTAACTCGTGTCTTCAGAAAATCACGCGAAAAAACGTTCCCGATCACCCTAAGCAAGGCATCTTGGTATGACTTGCTCGCCAAAATACAGCGATCATATGAAAATCTTGTTAAACTCGTCTTTTTAAGGATGACTTTCAGAGCTCATGACATTGGTAGGAATGTAGTGAAAAAGTAATAATAACTAAACTGATAAACCAGAAATGATTAGTCACTTTTAACCCACTGGTCTCGATACTCATCGGTACTGACATTATGATTATTATAAAGATATTAAGATCCCAATAACAATGGAAAAAAAACGAAAATCATAGGAAAAGGGAAAAAAAGGTGAGGCAGGTTGGATAAATAATCGACTCCTTGGTGAAAAAGTACAATCAAATTAATCATGATGAAAATAACATGAAAATAAAACTTAACCTGAATAACTGATTGCATTATTTAAACCAAGAAGAGACAAAAAAAAAAAAAAAAAAAAAAAAAAATCGTATGAATAAAAATGAATAACCTCGCGACGCAAAAACGATGTATATAAAACACCTCGGTTTTATCGCCGGTCGAAAAATAAACATGACTTTTTTTCTTTTTTTTTAATAAATATGAAGTGTCAGATATATTTCTTGCGCTGTGAACTAACTTATTCTCATTCATACTTTGGTTGTCGTCATGAATTCGATAATTTCCTTCGCATTTTTTTCCCTTTTTTATATTCAATATGATATGTAATTCACAAGATTGATTTTTCACTTCATCAACCATAATGCATTAATAATGATGATTATATTTAATTTGAAAGGCATAAGATTTGAGATGACATCAAAATAATGTATAATGTGCAATTAATCGACTGAAATAACAATAGCAATAACAATAACAACTACAGCAACAGCAATGATAACAACAGTGCCACTACTAATAATACCAATAATAATGATGATGATGATAATAATAATCGTAATAATGATATTAATGATAATAATAATAATAATAATAATAATAATAATAATAATAATGATACTAATGATGACAATAATAATAATAATAATAATAATAATAATAATAATAATAATAATAATAAGAGCAATGATAATATTGAAAATAATAATAGCAATAATGATAATGATGATAATATTAATAATAACAATAGCAATAATAATAATAATAATAATAATAATAATAATAATAATTATAGTAATGATAATAATGATGATAATAATGATGATAATGATGGTAATAACAATAAAAAAATGATAATGATAATGATAAAAAATAATAACAAAGCAATAACAACAACAACAATCATAACAATGGTAGTAATGATAATTATAATGATAATAATAATAATAATAATGATGATAATAATAACAATAACAACAATAATAATAATGATAATAAAGATAATAATGCAAAATTATAATAATATTAATAATAATAACAACAACAACAATAACGAAATGATAGTGATAACAAAACCATTAATGTTAAAAACAATACTAATTTCAATCTGATTATAAGGAGGATAAGGATGGAATACTATAATGAAAATGATAATGTTATTCTAATATCTGCTTATTCCTCGTCCTCCTCAAAGTAAAACAGAAAGACACTTAATCGTACAGATATTTTCTTGCATTCTTCCCTAAGTATCAATATGTGAAGCTTTCCCTAAAATGACTAGAAAACCCCGGTTCAAATTTACATTAGCTTTAGTGGGTATATTTTCCACTGTAAATCGTTCTGTGTCTAAAGATAAGGGACGATAAGTGGGAGAGGCGGGGGAGGGGAAGGGGGAGGGGTGTCAGTTGTCCTCCCTCCCCCCAAGACTCCGTTTACCCCCCCCCACCTTCACCCCCCCCAAGGGCCAAACATTTAAAAACTATTTGAAAACTAAATTTCTCCTCTGTAGGTTTGGTTATAGCTTAAATGTGCCCCTAAAATAGCTCTTTTTTTTTCTTTTTTTTTCGCTTCGCTCGTCTGTCCACTCTTGCCCTCCCCAAATAAAAGCTGAAATGACGCCCTTACTAGACACTGTAGAAAAACAATCTCTCTCTTCGATGTTCAGTTAGACCGCCTTGGAATAAATAAACGTCTGTCCCGGAGCAAGATTCACAAGCACACGATCGTAGGACATTTATCCGCGGTCGGGTACCTGAGGCTTTAAAGTGGGTTTGGAGGGACAGCAATGCGCCTCATAAAAGCTGCCATCTTGAAACGACTTATTTATTCTCTCACGGGTAAATTTGGAAATAATTTCTAACGCCGACTTTCCGATGAACAATATAACAATAGTTTTCGTCGTGTTTCGAACGAACTTAGACCTAATTTCCTTCGCAAACGAAGCACAGCTACGATATTGATCCCGATAGGAGGTGAGGGCATGATATATATCAGGGAATTGGGGGGGGGGGGGATTTCGAGAAATGTCGGTAATACACGGGAGAGAACAATATATCCACTCGCTTCTAAGTTATATAGGAGGCTTCGCCCCCTTAAATCTTCACCTCATATGTTCCGGCAGGGCAGTCACCCCGCTCCCCCCGCCTGCTCCTCAAAATTTTCGTCTCAAATGTCCCGACAGGAGAGAGCCCAGACCCAGAGACAGTTTTAACCACACCTTACCTCAAGCACTATCTCGGGGTCTTCCAGGTGCGTTGTTGGCGGGAATCGCGACCGCTCTCCGCCGTTGCGTATAAGATTCGCGGCCTCGACACGGTGTCTTACAGTTCAGGCGCAGTACTTGCACAGGCAGTACACCGTGATTTCGCGAGTATAATACACTCGCGTCGTTATTTCGATTATGTTTTGCAATGAAATCAATATAGTTATCATCACACCCGACACAATGCCTAGCCATGATTGAAATTATATGAGTTTCAACCGCCTTCTTCTAGTTCCAGCTTCTATTGTTACGTGATGATCTATTTCATATCTGATTGGTTCTATTGTGCTGGACGTCACTGCCTATGGGCACGTCACGTTCCAGCACAAATCTAATTGGCTCATTTGACTTCCGTCGCTCACATCATGCGCTACAAATCACAAATATACAAATCCGATTTTCCGTCGCTTTCAACGACTTTTTGTCATTTGTCGCGGCGCTGGGAGTAAGGTTGCTGCGTTTCCAGGATTGTACACCTTCTTTATTGCCGTTATTATCAAGTTGCGAAGAAAATGCAATAAAAGAAAACTTTCGCAGAATGATGTGTTCTACTATTTGGTAAGTTCAGATTCAGTTTTTAAAGCGTAAGACGTCATTTTTAATAATATCCTCTCACGTTCCGATAGTTCCCGATAGTAGCAAATAGAGGAGATATATAAAATGATGTATATCATATAGATAATGTATATAATGTAACATATATGCAGTATGTATAAGTTAATACATAATGCAATACATATAATATACAGACCTAAAATTTCTACCTGCCTACCTACTTATCTATCTATCTATCAGCATGTGCGTGTTTGTGTGCGTATCAAATTATCGTCTATCATCTCATATTGTAAAATATCATGATATGAAACATAACGAAATATGATATATAT